CCATTTTTTTTTCCTATCTTTATGTGATCACACTTAACTTTGCGTTACTTAGATTGGAAGACCTTCCCCCGGAGGTTCAGTACGTTTGTGAGTCTCTTATTATCTGATCATCCTCTTTTTCATCTGGGTCATTCCTCCAACCAAGCCAGGAAGCTTAATGGATCTTGCCTGTGTGGCCTTGAAAATCAATTCTCATTTGGTTGGCATGCAAGAAAAGATGGCTTTGGCAATGGAGACAATGCATTTCTGGGGGAGAGAATTAGAGGGAGTCTTAATAACAATGTTTGGGTCAATCAGCTGACAAACAGCTTGAAAACAGATAAGAAAGAAAACAAGATCAAAACTGGTGCTTTTGCTGTTCTCACATCAAATACACCAGAGAAGCCATTGTATGTTAATTCTTTCCTATAATCTCATTTTTCCTTTTTGTCCCTAGATGATTTCTATTTACATCTATTATTTTGTTTGATCATGAACATGGACTTTGTAGTGGTCTCTGGTAAAGTTTAATTCTTTTTCTTGATTTTGGTTTTAGACCTTACAACCACGTCGAGTTGAGAGACGAAGAGTTGACCCCAAAAATGTGGCTTCAATCATATTGGGAGGAGGAGCAGGGACTCATCTCTTTCCACTAACCAGAAGGGCGGCTACACCTGCTGTAAGGACATATGAATTTTCTTATGCTATGCTCAGTCTCATGACAGAATTGCCTCTTTGTTTTAATGATATTTGAGTATATGCATGATGTTAAATTGAATCTAGGCCATGTTGGTACTGGTTTTGACTGTGGTGGATGATTGTATGTGAATCTGTAGGTCCCAGTTGGAGGATGCTATAAGCTGATAGACATTCCAATGAGCAACTGTATCAACAGTGGGATAAACAAGATTTTTGTTTTGACCCAGTTCAACTCAGCTTCCCTCAATCGGCACCTTGCACGCACGTATTATGGCAATGGTATCAATTTTGGGGATGGGTTTGTGGAGGTATGAAAACCTTGATAAAAATAAAGATCAATTTCTAACTTTCTACTGATTTAACAGCTAGAGTAAGATGGCCTACGGACTGGTTTTGTATCAAGAGAAGAGAAAAAGAATTTCCTGATTAAATTTTTTGTTGAATATTGATGATCAATCAAGAAAGAAAGACCCATTGTTTTAGTTAGAACAAAACTCTAGTTCAACCTTTTTTTAAGGAATTCTTCTATACAATCATATATGATCTATAGTAAATCTATTGAGGATTCCTTCATCATTAGATCATTTGAACAAAACTCACTTGGTCAATAGGTTCTGGCAGCCACTCAAACATCAGGAGAGGCAGGGAAGAAGTGGTTCCAAGGAACTGCAGATGCTGTGAGGCAATTTATATGGGTATTTGAGGTAGGAACAGAAAGCTTTATTTCCCTTTTCTCGTGTCATCTCGAACAGGCACTGATAAAAATGGTTGGGAATTCATGTAGTTCAGAATCTGTTAAGAAATAAAATGTGATAAGTCAAATTTATTCTTGTAGGATGCAAAGAATAGGAACGTTGAGAATATACTGATCTTGTGTGGGGATCATCTCTATCGAATGGATTATATGGAATTTCTACAGGTAATGATTTCTTTTACACAATTGGACTCATGGTTTTTTTTTTTTTTGGCATTGCTTAAAGCTTAACTAACTTATTGCAATGTTGAACAGAGTCATGTTGACAGTAATGCTGATATTACAATTTCTTGTGTGACGGTGGACAACAGGTCTTTTGATCTTCTCTCATCTTAATAATGTAGTTGTATATATACTTTCTTTAACTGTTCCCTATTAGTACAAGTTTCATGGTTTCCAGCAATCTTCTTTCGAAAAGAGTGGTAATAATTTTTTTTTTTTAAATTGAAACAATGTTGATTTATTTTGGTGTCTGGCTTTCTGTAACAACAAATCTTAAAATTCATCAAAGAAGCTGACCGTTGATAATCGGTTACTTTCCAGCCGTGCATCTGATTATGGACTGGTGAAGATAGATGGCAGGGGCCGTATTGTCCAGTTTGCTGAAAAACCAAAGGGTCCTGATTTGAAAGCAATGGTAAGCAGCAAAAAGATGTTGTGCTTAGTTCTGCCGTCCCGTTTTCCTATTTATTTCTGAAACTAAACATTCCAAGTGAACAAAAATATTCGACAGAGTCCTATGTAAAATATATAGTATGCTGTGACTTTAAAGGAAAGTTTTTGTAGGTTTCTACATAGCTGCATATATCTTGCTAAATATTTGACTCTCACTTGTGTAACTCTTTCTGAAAGGCTATTTGACATCTTATGAGGCAAGAAAGTATTGACATTTATTTTCTGCTGATAATCTAAACTGCACTCAAAAGTTTATTCAAACTCTCAGCTATTTAACTTCTAAATTTTGTTAGAACAGGTTATTACAGTAAGACACTTTTATTTACTTGCTTTCTACCATATAAATAATTAACGTTATGTTGAATGATACTACTCTTCCTTTTTATGATTCTCTGCAGCAAACAGATACTACTCTTCTAGGGTTGTCTCCCCAAGAAGCTATGAGATCCCCTTACATTGCATCAATGGGAGTCTATGTATTTAAGACAGATCTTTTATTAAAGCTTCTGAGATGGAGATTTCCTACCTCCAACGACTTCGGCTCTGAAATCATTCCTGCTGCAGTGATGGAGCATGATGTCCAGGTAAGAGCCATAAAAATGCAATTTTCATTTATGTAAGATGATGTTTCTCCATCTTTTCTAGCACAAGGGATGATTTCAATTATCATGAGGCTTCAAACCCAGCACAAACTCCTACCAGCAAAGAAGCAAGCCCTTCCTCAATGCATTGTAGAATCTTTGAGATCATATATTTGAGCCATCATGCCATTTATTCTTCATAGTTTCCATATGTCTAAAGCATCTGATTACTAAATATACTATTGATTAAAAGGTTACTAAATTCTGAATGTCTCTCATATCTACAGGCGTATATTTTCAGAGACTACTGGGAAGATATTGGAACGATAAAGTCATTTTATGAAGCCAATTTAGCCCTCACTGAAGAGGTTGGTTTTTAGAAGTGTCATGTTTTGAATTCCTATCCTTTGGTGTCTAAATCATGAGTTTGTTAGATTTGTCCTATTTATTTCTCATCCTTGAAATAAATTTAACCTGTATTACTTGTCTCCTCTATGCAGTTTCCCAAATTCGAGTTTTATGACCCAAAGACACCTTTCTATACGTCTCCTCGATACTTGCCACCAACCAAAATTGATAAATGCAGAGTATGATGGTCTACATTGGATTAAAGTTGTGGCACTTTTTTTTTTTCTTCCTACTCATGTTTCGGTCTGTTTGTGCAGATTAAAGATGCAATAATCTCCCATGGATGCTTCTTGCGAGAATGTAGTGTCCAATGCTCAATAGTAGGTGAACGCTCACGTTTGGACTATGGCGTTGAGCTTCAGGTGAATTTTCATGGTTTCCAAGTTTAAGCAATGATTTCTTTACGTTATGTTTGGATAAATATTAATAAATGAAAAGAAATAAAAAAAAATTAAAAAAAAAAAATCCATGTAACTCTTATTTTGATAATTAAAATTAATAAAAAAAATAAATTCTAACAACCATTGTTTGAATAAAGAATAAAAAAAAAAAATAATTCATTATAATAATTTTTTTCAATTATAACTTTTTATTGCCTATGATTTTAGAACACTCTCGGATCATGATATATTTACTATTTTATCTAACCTCACAATTACTGCTATATCAATGATTTTTAATTAGATGAAACGAGAAGATATTTTATAAATATACATTGATGAATTTTGAGCTAATCTAACATCTTATAAATTTAAAAAATATATATATTTATATTTAATCATTCATCAAAATTAAATCACCAAAAAATAATAAAAATTTTTTATATTGTAAGATATATATGAAACTTACTTAAAAAAAATAGATTTGAAAAAATTATAAGATGATTATAATCTGCTTAAGTTTTTTTATTAGGTTTTTAGTATTAATAAAAAGATAGACATAATAATTTTTTATAAAAAAAAATTTTTTCAACCTTCCTTTTCCTAACTTTTTCTCCAAATTGGAGTATTAAAAAAATTAAATTTACAAGAGAAACAAAATGTTATTTGGTTTCCACCTCTTTTCCTTTCTTTAAATTAAATATTTATCCAATTTTGTTTCCTTTACTTTACTTTCTTTTCCTTCCTCTCCCCTCAATCCAAACACACCGTTAAACTTTATAGTTTGATTGGATCACATGTTCACTCCATATCTACAGGACACGGTAATGTTGGGGGCAGACTGTTACCAAACTGAATCTGAAATTGCATCACTACTAGCAGATGGTAAGGTCCCAATTGGAATTGGACGCAATACCAAAATCAGGTAAATTAACATGCATAACAAATTCTGAGAGTCAAACAAAATATCAGAATCTCGTATTCTGAAAATGTATGGCATTTGCTTTGCAGGAACTGCATAATTGACAAGAATGCTAAGATAGGAAAAGATGTGATCATTGTGAACAAAGATGTAAGCATGCTATCCCTACTCATTATGGCCTTTTTTCCTGCACTTCAAATATTGCTGCATTTGTTAAACTATCAACAAACTGTTGTTTATTTTGTAGGGGGTTCAAGAAGCGGATAAGCCAGAGGAAGGATTTTATCTCCGGTCAGGAATCACCATCATACTAGAGAAGGCAACAATAGAAGATGGTACAGTTATTTAAATGAATCTTAATGCTTCCATGGACAGCTCAGAGATTGGAATTGAACGTGCACCATTGAAAACAGTCAGGTCATGACCCTCTACTGGAAGAGGTTCTGAAGGTGGCATATGCAGCATTTTTTGCCGCAGAAAAAACCAAGCTGCTTTTCTCTCATTTACATTCATAGATGTAATTACAAGTTCTTTCTGCAGTGTAAAATAGATATTAGATCTCAATACCTCGTGGAAGTTCCCAAAATAAATCAGGTGGCTTAGTAGCCCCTTGTTTCTTTTTACAATTAGTAGAATTAAATCTTTTGAGAGACTGAAAGGCTGTTGCTTTTATTTATCCATTTGATGTCCATATCATCATGCTACAATAAGTAGGTTATGTCATTCTCTCTGACACTGAGGGCACGGTTTCTCAGCTTTGGTCTTAACCTAGTAACCTTGGCTTCGTGAATTGAAAACATCTATCAAAGAATGACATAAAATAGAAAAGCACAATTGACCCTCCAACCAGCGACTCTCAAAAGTGAAAGCGTTAGGCTCCACGCGGTAGGTCACCGTTCACACTCATGTTTTATCTCCATACGTGGCCTGGTTCACTTACTGACACGACTCCAAATGCATGAAACTGAGAGAGAAACAGGAGGCAGTAGAAAGAAAGAGTTTGGCATAACTGAAACAAGTAACAAAGGTGAACAGGACATAGTGGGCCAATCACGATGCAAGAAACGAGGAGAGCAGATTTGCTACAACTGGAAGGTATAACGAGGGAGACGAAAGAGACCACCACGGCTGATCATGTTGAAAACAACCTTGGAAAATATTCTGCTAGTGCACTTCAACTTTTTCTTGATCGGATCCCCATCAACAGTTCAATCCCTGGCATAAAAAACGCACCTGGTAATTCTTTTGTGACATATGGATATTTATAGATAATTGCCCATTCTCACAGGAGGTTAAAATCCAACTTGGTTTCTTTCGATATCCGATTGTTAAGTATGGTATTTGTGTCTTTCTTTATCATTTCTATTTGCAAGTGGAGTTGAAAACTGAGGATAACGAGGAGGATGCAATTGAGTTGTATACCAAGAACGTGTCTGGTGCTCCCATTGCAAATGTTTTAGACCCTGATATCACAGTAGGCAGGTTTTCAGATCGATATATTGGTTTTATTGATTTTGCTACCATGGTTCTCTGGTCCCTTGAGGTAATCTGATTTTACACATTTAATTTCTTGAGTCACATTGTCACCAACTTGCATCTTCTCTCTCTCTCTCTCTCTCGATGTATCCAAATGCATTTCTCGTGTTATGCCCTTCCCAGAAATGTGAAAAAGCTTGTGTCCCAACTGATAGCCATGCTAGTGAGGAGACCGGCATAAGCAGCCTCTTGTCCTTGCTTGAACAGAATCCTCAAATTGGCCACACAAAGGTCTTTTTACCTTTCTCTTGTTATTAATTCATCTTGAAATTGCGGAATGGCTTTCATGGATAAAACGATATTGTCCAACTAAAGCACCCTTGCCTTTAGTTCGTGTTGTATTTTACCAACGGGACCTGTGTTTTTTGTTCTGTGTGAGACACAGGTAGGGGAATTGGCAAAATCTTTCCTATGGAATCCGTTTTTCCCTGTACGCTTAGAGGATACTCTCTTTCATGTTCTGCTGCTGCTTTCAAAGCACCCAGTGCAAGTTGTGCCAGTCGTCGAGCAATCGGATCTTCAGGTCATAGGTTTTGTTACATAGGTACTTTAAGGCCACAAACTTAGCTCACTGAAATATATAATTGGGTAACAGGAAAAAGCCTGAGAAACAGGTTGCTTATTTCAGAAAAATAGGGACCTGTAAGGCATAGCAAATGTAACTGATTAAATCAATGCATGCTTGAATTTTATAACTTGTTGCCTTTATGGTAGATTGCAGTTATCCAATTGCTTCTTCAATCAGATGGACTCGCGTGGTTTGACAGTATTGCAGAAAAGCCTCTATCAGAATTTCGGTAGGCAAAACCTGAAAGATACTTCAGACTACATCTTTCATTTTTAAAGGAATCATGACTTGGTAGCATTAATTATCAACCTTCATGGTTTATTGCATTTCTATTCAGGTTTGAAAATGAGGAGAACGTAAGTTGTGTGTATGGTGATGAGAGCATAGCAAACGCTCTTCACATCTTGTTCAAAAGTCAAATAGGTGCAATTGCTGCCATAGATAGACAAACTCAAAGGCCTATGGGTAGTGTCAGGAGCAGTAATGTTTATCTTCTTGTGGAGAATGACAATCTATTCCACAATAGAAAGTGAGCAATGTTTCCTTCCAATCCTACACTACATTTTCTTGCCTGATTGACATGCACAAGCTGTACATGTTTGATTTGATCACAGGGTAGTAACCATGGAGGAATTCATTCATATAGAGACTAGCAATCCAGACGGTGATCCTACCATTGAACGAGACATGGGGCTCTTTTATCAGCAGGGGTTCTTCATCTACAAATTAAGTTCCTTCCAAGAATGGATTCACTAGTCACCAACAAGAAAACTGACACTCTCAAGCAAGCCATGAAGAATGTAGCAGAGACCAAATGCAATTTCAGTTTTCAGGTTGACGACTTGCAGCGTCCACTAGGTGTCCTCACATTGAGAGACATAATCCTTCAGTTTGCTTCGCCCTCTATGAACTCCAACATTGATGGAGGAGGTTTCTTCGAATCTGCTCTTGAACAGATTGGCTGTCAGGTCAAAGATGGAACCCTAATTTCCGATCATTAACTTACTTACTCTGCCTGATTCATCAGAATTTATACTTTAGTTTCATACAAGCTTCTGAGTCCAAGCATCATTAATTATACCTACATAAAATGTTTTATTCCGACTACATGAAGAGAAAAGAAAATATTTCACTTTCCCTTACTTGATGAAAGAAAATCAACAAAATTTTCTGACTGAAACTTCATTTGGGCCCCCAAACTGTGCTGATCTGGGCATCAGAATAATGAGCTCTTGAATGGCAAGACTGGCTGATGAGAGAGGTGTACAACTTTTGCTACTAATCTTGATTTTTTTTGCAAGGAAAGCAATGAACTATGGGATAAGAGGAGAAGGATAATAATATACGTGCAAATATGCTAATCAATTGCAGTGTACAACATTCCCTTCGCCAGTAATAACATAGGTTTCCAAACACAGTTTCCGCTTTCAGAACGCTCAGCTTAATCAAATTGTTGTAGGAAGATCTTGCTTATATGTTTTAGGCACTACAGAGAAAAAATCTTTAGGTTGGGAGTAACTCTAAGCGTTCCTTGTCAAGATGTTGGGTGGAATAGTCATCATGTTTAAAATATGATCCAAAGGAAAGAGGTTTTTTAGATAATATTTTTACATGAATTTTTTCTAAGTAAAATTTGTAAAATTTTTTTAAATGATTTAATAAAAATTTTAATAAAAAATTTAAATCAATAAATTGTAAAATTAGATAATATGTAAAAAATTTAAAAATATTATTTATAATTTAAATTTAATTTATATTTATTTAACGATAAAAATTTATTAATATTTTTATTAAAAATATTTATTTAAAAAATATATAAAAATATATTTAAATTTTATTAAATTTTACACGTTTAATTTATGTAACAAAATTTTTTAATTTTGATTTTGATTTTTAATTTTAATTTAATATTTTTAATAAAAAAATTAGATAAATTCTATCAGATAAAACTTCGTTTAAGTTTTTTTGGGAAGCCCCTTGCACGATTCGAAAGGTCTCTCAAATTGGACTAACCTCCATTCAGGACTAATGACGAAAACAAAAGCAGATGTTATGAGTTGCCATCACATCACGATCGAAGTTTATGCTCTTTGACCAAAATAGTTTTCACCCATAATATTAATTAATTTTAAATAATGAGTAGTTAAAGATAAATAATTTTTTAAATATTACATTAATAAATAAAATTATAATTTATTTATTATATTAAAAAATTTTAATTTAATTAATAAATTATTATTATTATTTATTATTTGGAAGATAAATTCTAATGTTTAAATCCTCTGTCCATTTTGATTTTTTTTTCACATGTGTGGAACAGACAAAAGAAATTTTACCTAAAAATATATTTTTTTATAGCTTGAATTTAAGTAAATAAATAATCTCATCTTCATTAAATTGGTGAAATATATAAAAGCTAATAGCATTATTAGAATAAACAAAAAAGAAGAAAAGGCAATCATATTTAATTTTATGAATATTTTATCATTTTTTTCAAGAATTTATCAGCTATTAAATGGTTTGACAATTTAAAAGATATTAAAAATAAAATTAATTAAAAAATAAAATATGTGATAATTTTTTAAATATTATTTATATAATTAAAAAATGAAAGTAAACAGATATTGACAAAATTACTAACACAACGTGGGCATAGGAAAAGCTTAAAGGGCATATTCTTGTCAACAGAAAATCAACAGTAAAAAAAAAAAAAAACCATCTCCAAATAGATCTGCTTGTTTCTCGCTTCCTCTTGTCAAAAGAGAAAGCAATTTCTCAGAGTCCAAAGCTTAACAACGGAGAGTCCTTTGAGGTCAGCCTTTTTTTCTGCTTCAAAAATTGTATCTTTAAAGGCATTTCTTTTTATTTTTGTATTGATTGTTTTTTTCAAGGATCTCAAGTCGTTTTCTTTAAGCATTCAATCATTTTTTTTTCTTGTTAATAGTTGATTCTTTCTTATCAACTGTTTGTGCTTTGTAAATCTAGGATTTTGGTTGTTCTGGATCTGGGTTTTCAAAGCTTAGTTGTTTTGATTTTTGTAAGCACTAGGTTTTTGTTTGGTTGGTGAGAAAACTTTGGGATCTCATGTTCTTTTGGTTTCTTTGGAGTTTTGGTGATGGGTGATTGATTGGTTGTCGCGTTTGGTTGATGGGTTTTTCTTTTTATGCCTGTTCAAAGATTCTGGGCATGAAAATTGTTTGCATTTTTCTTGGTAAACAAACATAGCATCAGGGTTTTCTTTACATTGGATTCATTGATTGAGAATGACTAGCTACTCTGCTTTGTCTTTTTTTGCATATGGTCATAGTGGTAATGTTTGATGATTTACTGCTAGTAGTGCTTAAATTGATGGGTGTTTGATCAAGTATCGAGTTCGAGTGTTTACTTATAATGATGATGTTTTTGGGAACTTAATGAATCTTTGTGCTTAAGTTGATTGGATTCTTCTCTTATGATGTAGGATTTGAAGCTAATATTGAATGGAGGGAATTGGAGGTGACGGTGCATCAGTGGCATCACCTTTGCCTCGATGGGGGCACGATGCTTGGAGGATATATCAGTATTATCTGGATAAGACTACTCCTCATGCAGCTTATAGGTGGATTGGAACCCTTGTTATAGCAGCTATATACTGTTTGTGGGTCTATTAT